GGGAGGAGGGGGGACAATTTACCGCACCCCTCAATTTTTTTAAGGATCGGGGGCGTTTAAGGTGTTTGTTCGGGCCGTTTTTCCGCGCAAAACTGTAAACTGGCGGTTATTTTGTAGTTTGGTGCGATATATGGGTGCGTGCTAGAGATGCTCTAAGGGCATCTTCAATGGTTGTAAGATAGTTGTTGGTAGACTTTGGCACATAGGATTTTTAAACCAACACCCCTTGCACAAGTTTCAATGTAGAATTAGAGAGCATCTTATTTATTATCTCACATCTTATTGGGCAAACTAGATACAAGCCATTGGGGTTGTTGTATGTTAAGGTGTTGGTTGATGATATGGCATATTTTACCAACAAGGTAACATACAAACTGTTGGAGATGGCCTAAGTGTAGCATGTCTGGGAAATTGCTGGTGTGCGCCCTACCGAACGAGTGGCTGCATCTGACGTGGCAAGCTCCCTGCTTCATGATCCACGCGCCCCGATCCAACGGCTCTAGAGCAGTTCACTGGGAATTGCTTAATAGCTGGCGTTCACTACTTAACGTTTCCCTATGTTTTTTTTTTTTGGTTTCTTTCTCCTTCCTCCTTGCCAAAAATTCTCGAGTCGTGCACGCGGGCGAGGGTGGTAGTTTCGGGTCCCGTCCCCGCGGCGGCCGCGCGCGTTCTTTCCGGGGAGTGTCGCCGTGGATGTCGTCCTGGCTGCTGCGGCTCTTCTTCTTCTTCTTCTTCGGTAGTGGTTGGTCCCTCTTTCCCTCCCTTCCTCGTCTGTCTCGGGTTGATTTGGGGGCGTTGCCGGCCGGCGGCAGATTGGATTGGATTGGTGTTGGTGTGACGGGAGGTGGAGAAAGGGGAGCCGGGAGGAGGATTTTGGGCTCTCGGACGCGCTTGGTCGGTCGTTTCATGATCCGTTCCTCCCTCGGATTGGATTGGTGTGATTCGACAGAACAGAGACATGCCTCACCTCTGATAGAGCCCCTAGAGGAGACCATCCTGATTGAGAGGGGAAAAAAAAGCCCCGAATCGTCGACCACGCCACGACGATACACCGCCCTGCTTATAGACTACTTCACCTATAAGCCGGACGAGGAGTTCAAGCCACGACAGCTTCACTTACATACAAAACATACACACATAGGCTGTTGCCCAGTCAAATCATCCATTCGACTGAACTGAGAAATGCAAAACCGACTCACCTCTGCTAGAGCCTAGAGGAAACCAATCGTTCTTAGACTAAGGGCGATGCAAATCAGATCAAGCAAATCGGCTGCTGTTGTCATGGTTCAGCAGGACTCATGTCGTTGCCCAGAATATTAACCAATAACATCTTCTGCAGCATCATGAAATCAAATCAGTGAAAGTACACACATGCTCGGACGCTTTGAGTTTTTTTTAAGGAAAGCCGCTTTGAGTTGACTCGAAGATGGGCAACAGCTGCTCAATCGCTCACCTGCAACTACTTCCTCCATTTTCCTTTCAGGAAGCGCGCCTTGTCTGACTGAAAAACTGTCTGTCAGTTGAAAATTCAGACATAGAAGAAACAGAGGAGCATCTTTATTACAGTATAAGACATCTCCTCCCGTGCTGTGCTCCACGGGGCACGTTAATCAGTAGTCATCCTCTTCCTGTAACCTGCTGCAGGCGTGCCGTTAATTGCTCCAGTTGCTACTGACAATCGTGGAGGAAGGAACGGTGACACCCAGCGTTTAACCAGGTGAATAATCTACCTTTAACTTCAACCATCGCTTTGTCCTTCCTTTCCTATTTGGCAAGCCTAAATAGAAATTAATTACTAATTAGCTGGCTTGATTTTATTGTGCTTGCCCTAGCTTTTCATACACGCTAGTTGGATACCGGATCTTAATTGGTGCCTAATAACAGAACCCTCTATTCCAGCAAAAATAAAATAGATACTAATAGAATCCTGTAACACATGGAAGTAGGGGATTAGTGTCATTAAAGACATGTTCTCCATTCATCCTCCTTGAATCTGAGTCTAATTTTGACTAAACAAATACGAGCTATATGCCATAGAAGGTATACAATTGAATTTGGTATGATTTTCTTGGTGCATCCGAAATACAGCAGGCCAGGGCTTCACAAATAGTAACTCTAGATTCCAAGTTTTCCAACAAATATTGCATTACAGTGAAAACGTGAGAAATAAAGCAGACCAGTGCTATCGAAACAATAGCTCTGGACTCCAAGTCTTCCAACAATACAATGTTGCTTTATTATGAAAATATGAGAAAATAAAGCAAGCCAGGGCTGCAGAAACATGATTGTTTGTTCCTGGTACACAAGATAGAATATGGGTAGCAATTAGCCAATTACAGTTACATTCTCGTTACCAACCAAATTTCTGACTTTTTCCACAAGATCGGAGAGGAGAGGCCTGGCTGTCTTCTTTACTCCGCAATCAGTCCCTGCAAAGAGCATGCAGCTCTCAAGGTTAGACAGGATCTTTGAAGCATTTTCCAACGACTTCAGGAATTCATTGAGCAGAACGGTGTCCTGGCCGGGCTGCAGCATTAATACCGCAATCTGGCCGCAAAGCTTCACGATTCTTAGACAATGAGCTCTGTCCTCACAGTTCTCTTCTACTATAGCCCTGAGCTTTCCCACAAATGCACCTTCCTCTAGAGAAATCTTTCGAACCACATCGTCGAAGTCATCGACGCTGATCAGTTTGTCACACTCACACATCACAAAAGTAATTGATAACAGTGCTTCTCGGTATTCTATTTCAGCTTTTAGCTCATCACTTGACTTATCAGGTGACTTCTTGATTTGGCCGCTACGTTCTATTGTCAGTTGTTTTTCTTCATCATTTCCCCTTCTTGCACATCTTTTTTCCCATGCAGACATTTTTCTCTCTTCTCTCTGTTCTTTAGGGAGGTCTTGTGTACTGGCTAGTACTTCCGTGAGGACCTGCAACATAATGTAACTTTGTAAAATACAAAAACTTGCCCATATGATACTGCTTAAAGGGTATAAGCAACACTATTGTCGTGACTACTGGAATAATAGTGTTGTGCTAGAGATAAGTAGATAAGCAGATCTGTAAGCTAACCTTTGGCAGCAAGGTTTCCTTCACATAGTCCTTGTCCAATGTACAGTGAGTGCACAAGTTCTCCAAGATCTCCAATGCTACTGTCCTGTACGTGATGTCGTTCTTAGAATCAAGTATTTCATTGGGACAATCTGCAATGTTGTTCTGTTGGTTTTTTATGAACTTAGAGATAGTTTCCATCTTGGAAAGCAATGCCAGTGATTTCCCAGCTGTAACTCTAAGCTTTCCTTTGTCCCCTTCATCATCATTCTTCTTGTTCAAACCATCTTTGTCCCCTTTATCATCAGTAAGGAATATCTGCAACTGCTTTCTGATTAGATTTTCTTTTGTTTCGGTGCTGAGGTTGGCTGACGAATCAGTGACCAGTTCTGTCAGGATTTCTATGGCTCTCATCTGCAGTTCTGTGCCATCATTTTTTCCCTGATAAAGAATTCTCTCCAGGTTGCTCAGTGCATGCTCGTTGGAACAGATTTTGTGGACCAGATCACTTCTGCCAATCCACTCTGGAGCACGGATGAGCCCTATCGTTGCGTGGATACTTCAGAAAGTGCGCGTATCCAGCCGGATAGTGCCCCGATACTTGGATACTGCCCCGATACTTCCCGATACGTATCCCGTAAGTATCCCTGGATATTTTGATATTAAAAATAGAAAATAATGTTTGATACTTCTATGATATTCCTGCGATACATTTTGGATACCTGAAACCCCTCGTTCGACGTGAAATCCCCTCAATAATAAAGGCGCACCTTTGAAGATTCCCAACATGGGCGTGAGTTCATGTGAAAACATCTGTCGATGTTTTTTATTCAATTGAAAGGTTAGCAAGAGAGAGTTGATGCATTGATTGGAACAGCAAACCTGGTCAAATCTTACAACCAATTAATGAAAGTGGACTAAGTGCAAGAAAAGAAAGGGGTAATCGTATTGAGGCATGCTTTGACCTAGAAGCTCCTGAATTTTTTCTTCATATTTGTAATAATTAATATATTTTTTTGCGAGGGTAAAGCGAGTTTTATTGCAAATTCATAGAGTTACAGTTGAGAGGCCACACATCCTCGATACAAGGAGGATCTGAGCGGAGCCAGACAACGGTGGCTCGCTCCGAATGGCTATAATTTGCCAAACGGTCGGCAACTCTATTTTGAGAACGACTTAAGTTTCTGAGGAACAAACTCCCTACTACCAGCTAAGTACTTGATCTCCAATACTAAGTGCCCGTATGCTGAACGCTGGAGAGCATCCGTAGACAAGCATGACAACGCTTCAGAAGAATCCGATTGTAGTATCACCGGCGCATCGGAATGTTCAATAGCCAGCGCCATACCTTGCATCATCGCATGTAGTTTCGCCTCCAGAGAATCATTGCAATGAAAGACGTATCTGTAAGCTGCAAACAAAATCATCCCTTCGTAATTCCTTAGAACCATCCCGACCGCCGCGTGCCGTCGCCCGGGTGGAATGAGTCGTATCCCCGTATCCATGTTTTTAGAAAATTGACGTATCGGGCGTATCCCCGTATCGCATATCCGATACGTATCCAAGTATCCATGCAACGTAGGATGAGCCTGTGTACCACTTTGAGTGACCCATTCACTACATCGGCCCATAGATTTGCATTGATATCTTGGATTAGTGTCTCAGAGTACAGTGGTGCCATGATCTTAGGGAGGAGACCAGGGGTGTTGCATATGTCGTTGCAATTATGTTGATCGAAGACGAGCCTCTCAAGAATTGTGAGGCCTTGTAGAATCAGCTCATTCCAGCCATCTCCTTTGCTGCCATGATGGGTTGAGCTATCCACTCCATCTTGTGGAGTGTTACCACCTTGGTTTCTGAATTTTTTTACTTTGTTGTCCTCAGTGCCTTTGAGAACAAAAATCGATTTTTTCTTACCGAAACCAGCAACTCTTCTTCCTCTATATTCCTCTATTTCTTTGGCAAGAGAAATAAACCTTTCCCTAGCACCGTCAGCATCTTTTTTTGACTCACTAACAGTAACATGACTGGGTCCTTGTTGGTTGTTCCAATACGGCAGGGTGGTATCAAGCAGGGAGGATATGCAGTGTATCGCCCCTGGGAACTGGGACAAATGAATGTCACCGGCAAGGTATGCGACGATCCTGGCGACGACCTCCCTGAGCTCTCTGTTGCTGCTTCTCCATCCTAGCGTATCAATCAGCTTCTGAATCTTTGGTCTGGAGGGGAGTAGTAGGGGCCTTACATCTGCCTCCAGCTTAATGAAGTTATCGAGCATCCTTGCTCCTGAGAGGTAGTCTTTCTGCGATTCCGAGTCAACCAAATCAACAGCATAGTTGATCAAATTCATACCATCTATGGATGTAGGGTCTCGCCAGCATTTTGCTCGGATATCATATAGGTAACCTAAAATTGTTATGCTGCCCCACTTTTCTGGTAACTGGCATTCTTCCCGGAACAAAACCATAACCGACATCACTGACACATCCATCAACCACCATATGAAGAAGAGCACACCTTGGCCAATAACCAAACAGTAGAACATGTTCAGTGCTGGCACCAGGTTTGCTTTGTTGTCGTCACATGCGGTGTTGCAATAATCATGCTGCCATAGGCGCCACAGTGAGAGCACAATGCATGCAACAGGCCCAAGTTTATAAAGGATCCCTGCCATTAGAACCACTACCAGGGCTGGCAAGGATAGTATTTGGATAATGATAACTTCTACCAACTGAATAACAGGCCCAAGTCTCGGTAGATACCAACTTGGTGTAAGATGTTCCCTAGGACGTGTAAAAGCTTTCCTCGCAAGCTTCTCCATTAGGTTCAAAAATATAGGGAATAGGTTGTCCCCTGAGTCGTTGAAGATCCTGTTTGTCAAATTGCAAATGCGTCGTTAGTGCCCGAGCATTAATATAGATTGAGTCGGTTAGTATTTATTTGTTTATGCCAAAATCGACAAGCGGAGAAGAATTTCTACCATAAGAAGAAAGTTATCCATATAATTGAGAATAAAAAAAAGGTTTAAACCCGCATACGAGACAGGAGACATGGTACATAGAACAAGGTCAATAGCACCATCTGCCCACGGCCAAGGTAGCACAAACTTTTTCCCGGAAAAAAGGTAGAAGAAACTCAACACGCCCCATGGGAAGATCCCACATCATTGTGATGACCTATGGCATCCATGATATGGCGGCTCCGACTTCACAACAACAATAATGCTGCCATGGCAGAAGTCTGCGTACTGACTATGTGTGCACCTTTTTAGCTGATTAGGTAAGTTTATTAGCTATATATTTGGATTAGTCTTAGTCCACGGCCGAAAATGCTGCCGTGAAAGCCAAAACGTCTGCCATGGCAACAAATTCTCCCACGGCCCAAGCACTACCATGGCAGTGAAATTGGCTACCACGACAGGCAAATCTACTGCCATGGCAGCGAAAAAGGCTTCCATAGCCGCACCGACGACCACCGATGCACTTAAGCGAGTGCGTGCAATGAAAACACTCTCAAGGATATCATCTTCCTCCCAAACCGTCGGCACATGGACATGCCAGAGAAGCAGCTATCATGTGGTGGCGGCGTCCCTGTCATCGGAGAGGAGTTCAACGACGATGATGACTACCCTGACTACGAGCTCCATCTTGCTCTGGTTGAAGAAGCCGGATTGTTCCAAGAAGTCAAGAAGCACGAGTGCTGGCGATGCGGCATGATGGAGGAGATGGGCTCCATCGAAGCCAACAACACACTGCGCCTTGTGGATCTCCCTCCTGGTCATCGCTCAATCGGTTTGAAGTCGGTCTACTATGTTAAAGAGGATGCAGATGGCGTCGTGGTGAAGTACAAAGACAGGATCATCGCAAAGGAGTATGTCCAGAAGCACGATGTCGACTACGACGAAGTATTTGCTCTGGTGGCGAGAGTCGAGTCCGTAGGCCTCCTTGCTCTCACGGCACGCATAGGCTAGATAGCCCACCACATGCCTTTCTCAACGGTGAACTTGAAGAGGAGGTTTACATGCCACAACCTCCAGGGTTGTTCGTTGCTCGCGAGACCAACAAGGTGCTCAAGCTGGACAAGGGGCTCTATGACCTGAAACAAGCCACGCGCTTGGAACACCATGGTGGACGCGTGCTTCATGTCACTCGGGTTCAGCTGGTGCCCTTCAGAGCACGCGATGTACACTATGGGCACTGCAACGTCATGGCTGCTACTGGTCGGCGTCTACGTCGATGATCTGATAATCATCGGTTCGAGGAGGAGATCACACGCTTCAAAGGTGAGATGCAGACATTGTTCGAGATGATTGATATCGGGCAGCTCGAATATTACATGGGGATCGAGGTGCGGCAGCACGGCGCCAACATTGACTTCTGCCAGACCAGGTACACAGTCAAGAACCTCCACAAGGTGGTATGCCGGGCTGCAACCCGTGCCATGTTCCCATGGAGCCGCGCTTTAAGCTGAGTAGGGTGAGCTCAGCACAGCCAGACGCCATGGAGTACGGGAGCATCATTGGTATGCTCTCTACCTCGTCCACACCAGGCCGGATTTGTCCTTCTTCGTCGACTAAGTGTCACGGTTCATGCAGAGCCCACGGCCAAGCACATGGCGGCGGTGAAGAACATAATGTGCTACGTTGCAGGAACTCTGCACCCATAGAGGGCCCCTAATCGGCTACAATCTAGGACGCGATGTTGACAACAGAAGAAGCACCACGACGTCATGTTCTTCCTCGGCAACAACCTGGTTAGCTGCCAGTCGCAGAAACAAAGGGTGGTGGCTCTTTCGTCGTGTGAATCCGAGTACATATCTGCAACGACGGCCGCGTGCCAAGGCATTTGGCTTGCACGCCTACTCGAAGAAATCAGAGATGAAGAGCCAAGGGCGGCGATGATACCTGTCACCAACAAATCAGCCATATCCCCACGTAAGAATCCTATTTTCCATGAATGAATCAAATACATTGAGATTCAATATCATTTTATTCGGGAGGCATGGTGAACGGGAACATCCATATCCGAAGAACAACTCGCCAATATGCTCACCAAAGCACTTGGGCTTGGGCGTGTCAAGCTTCAGGAGCAACGACCAAAGATCGGGATGATTGAGATCAACAGAACAAGGTTTAGGGAGTGAATGTTGAAGTTAACCTGCGATTGTTCCATTTCGTTGCCATGGCAGAGCTTTTGACAAAAAGGGTCTCCCCGCTTTATATTATAAAGCAATAATCAACCGATACAATCAGCTCGTTGGGGCCGCAGCATAAATAAGCCCCCAAAAAAAGAGAGAAAGAAAAGAGAAACAAATGCCGACGCCGGCAGCTCAACTAAGCGAAGATGACCGACACCCGCCGCATCCTTTGGAGAAGTACCACCGCACGCCCAGCACTCCGAAACCTCGCATACCAAGCAACACCTTCAGGAAGGAATGCGACAACGACGCCGCTGCTGCCCAGACAAGTCCTAGGGTTTTTCCCCGGTATGCAGATGGCAGTGAGGACGACGTATCACCGACACCCCTCAGGAAGGTCCGGCCGCGCCCACGGGCATAGCCACGCCTGTGGCGGACGAGCCGCCAGGGATTTCTCCCACCCCGAAACCACCACCGTCGCCCTAGACAATCGGAAGTGTACCACCCAACATGCCGCCCGCCAGCCTGTGCCACCGCGGTCACTGCACCAACTTCACCGTCTCACCGAGGCCACCAACACGAGACTTAGAGGGAGGACAAGGAGACACCGGGCTCGGGGGCAACCGCAGCGCAACCGGCAAGAGGGGACAACCTTCATTGCCGCGCGGAGCCGACCGGACGTAGCGATAGGGACCTGCCAGGACACCATAGGCCCGGCGGGACCCCAACGGGTCCGGACAATCTCTGATGCCACGCTGCAGCACGCCGGTCGCCGGAGCCATCACCACCGCAGCCGCATCCACCTCGCCGCACCACCAGGGAGCCGCGCTGCCGCGCCCCGAACCGCCGGCCCACCCCAGCCGAGCTGGGGCCCGAAAGGGCCCAGATCTGGGTCGAGCGGGGGCCGCCGGCCAGCCACACACCGCGCCGTCCCGCAGCCAACGGCCATGCCACCGCGTCAAGGGCACTCGTGGCCCGCGGAACCCCGCCGTCGGGCAGGAGGGAGCCCCGACTCCACCTCCAAGCACGCGGGGAAGAGACGTCTGCCGGCGCCGACGCCACCCGGGCACGCCGATGTCCTCTGCCGGCGGTGGCGAAGTGGGGTGGAGGAGGAGGGGGTCGAGACGGGGTGGAGGGGTGGAGGCGCTCCGCCGCCGCGGGGGGCGACGGGAGCGTGGGAGGAGGTGGGGAACGGGGACAATCCTCATGGCAGAGCTTTTTAGCTGCCACGACAACTGTTTTTAGCACAATAATTAATGTTGCCACGACAGAAGTCTGCATACAGACTGTGTGTGCACCTTTTTAGCTGATTAGGGGAGTTTCTTAGCTAGATATTTGGATTAGGCTTAGTCCATGCTGGCACGTACTGGTTCATGGGATGGCACGAATGCCAAGGTTCGGCGTATTGCACGGAGGCTCTTTCGATTGGTAACAAAATAAAGGAAATGAGAAATAGAGAAAATGCTGCGACGTATTGCACGTAGCACAAACTCTTGTTCCATCAAGCTCTTCGTGTAAGTGAATGTATTGTGCCACCGATGAAGACCAACATTGAGGTCACGCCAACTGAGCCACCCCCAGAATGGGCATTACCGCAGCAACAAGTCCTCGTCGTTAACTCATGGGTCATCTTAGGGGTGCAAATGGGCACCCTTTGGGATAGCCTCTAATCCTATTTAGTTCAATCAAATTAACTAAAATTCTAAGTGTGTAATTTTGAAAACGCAGTTCATTTGACTGAGAAAGGGAGTTAGAGGTTACAATGAGGACTATCAATTTGCATCCTTAGTCACCTATCACTTTTTTCCAACCGGGCTCACACCCCTTTCCATTAACTTTGCAATTAACGGAAATACAAGAGTCTGCTTTGAGTATTGTGCAAAACATCACCCACCAGTCAAAGTCAAATGAGACAGCCTAGAGCAAAAGGAGACTGAAAGGGGGGAGCGAGTTGGCGCACCGCCAAGAAACCCACTGTGGATGACCCTAAAATGGATCACCCACCATGGGGCGAAAACCTGCAGCCAAGGGTCCGTAGACAGAAGTGGGTGCTAATTAGAGTCTCTGGAGCAATGCTACCAAGGAGAATTATAGTGCAACGATACCGCCGCTCAATTCAGAGAAACATGGGATCTATAGTTTCTTGGGAACCCCGGGAAGAAACGAAAATGCAGTGTTGTAGTGAAACCTCCAACTAGGTAAACAGAGCCACATGTGTTCTATTGTTGCCTTTGGCAACGCCAAAACCAGGATACTGCGCTGCAATTCCTCTGCCTACCCACCCAACAAACCAGTCCTTACCGCCGCTTTTGACCTCGCCACTGCGACAACCACCCACCGGTAGGTTGAGTTTATGGCAAGGTCAAAAGCAGCGGTTGGCCCATGCTCACGATCGGAGCTCATGGTGGCCAATAGCTAACCAAATGCTTCTAGCTGGATAGGAACCCTCGGCCACTACAGGACATCCAAATCTAACCGTGGGATATGAAGATCGGTTGGGCCATGACATAATGGAGGCAGCACCCCACTCATCGGTCGGCTATCCCTGCTGTCTGAGGAGGATCACCACTGCCAAGCCTGGGTCATACCCACGTGTACCTCCCGCCACTAAGATATCACCATCCGTGTATATCAATCATTGTACATCTACAACGAGTATGAGCCCCTTAACCTTAGGGTGTGGGG